CTCTGAGCTGATTAATCGGCTGCTTAATTCTCAGATCTCTAATAAGAACAGGAAGTCCGTATCTTCCCGGCTCTCTGGGGCCGCGGGCTGGATGTGTGCAGAGGCCACCATCCCGACAGGGCAGTTTCCACACTGGAGAAGTTGGGGGTGTCTGGGCTTAATTTAGATGTTTCATGTTAGTTGCACTCTTTGTGTCAGAGATATTTCGAAGGCTAACGTCTGTGATACACATGACATATTGAAAGCCATATGTGCACAGGCTGGTCCCCTCCCCACCGCGCCCGTCACCTCCCCGACACGAGTTCTCGGGTGATCGCCCTGGAGAATCCGAGTGGCCCGACGGAGGGTCCGCGGGACGGGAGTCTCTCAGGCTCATCTCCGAGCCGCAGGTCACCCTGGAGAAGGAGCTCAAGGTCCCACCGGCAACGTGGGAACTGCCGGTGCTCGCCCTGTCCAGAGATCTTTTTCAACTGCTGTATTCCACGTCCTCAGCAGAAGGGACAGTCCTTCCATAGGAGGCAGCCTGGACCTGCCTGCTCCGCCAATCAGAGCACGCCCACCAGCAAGCCACGCCCACCATCCTCACCCACAGCTCCCACGAACCCCTACTCCGGGAGAATCCCAGTTACAGAGTCTCGCATGTACTGCGGCAGAGTGAAACCATGGCATCATCCGGCCCTTTTTCCTTAAGCATGAACAGGGGTGGAGGTAGGGAGGGAGACGCCCTTGTCCCTAAGCCTCTGGCGCCTTTTCCTTTCTGGCTGCGACAGATATTGCAGGCTGCAATTTCCCTACATGAGTCATCTGACAGCTCTCCGCTATCAGTTTTCATCTTCCAGAAATGTGGTGACATGACTCGCTTGAGATTGTTCCTGCCCCCCAACTCCTCCTCTGCCGCATTTTCTTTTGTCTTTGTTGCAGTCGGTCTCAAGTAACTGAAGGAAACGCTGCACCTGACTGGCTATTGTGAACTAGAGTCCTGAGATGTCCAAGCAATGAATATGGCTGAATCATGGAAAGTCTGCACTACAAATTCCAGTTACCCTTTTTGTTTACATAGGGGTACAAGACATTCTTGTTTTGCTGCATATGGTCAGAATTTTTTTTTACAATGTTATAGAATGTGCCAAATCAACCATGATCTACACCTGCCAACTGTGAGGATTTATTTCTAAGTAAATATTGCACAGGAATTCTGTAACTCATCACTTGTGCTTAATGAATAGTGTTGACTCTCCCTTACATTCTTTTTTCCATTCTCAGTGATGAAACTCAAAGCAAAAAGTGTACACTTTGGAAAAAAAGACAATAGCAGTTATATAGGATGCCGCTGATCAAACAAACCAGCCCTAATTAATAGCACTGGGGTCCTCTCAGGTTACTGATTAAGCATTAAAAGTAGGAGCACAGCTCCTCTAGTGTTTCAAATGCTGTCTCATTGTCAGCTAAATATAAATACTATCTTTTTATGATGGGAATTGAACCCAGAGCCTCACAAGTGCTCTCTACCATTGAGCTACACCCTCAGCCCCTAAATGCTATCTTTCTCCATGTCGGCAATAATCAGCACCAACCCAACACATCTCTCCTATGTAATGTCTTGTGGTGTGTCATGAATGGTGGAAATTGTAGTGGTTCTTAGTAGGCAGAGTAGATCTAAGGTCTTTGATCAAGGGGCACTTGAGTGGGGTTTTGAAAGGTGGATGGGTTTGGCTGCCCAGTGCAAGGAGTACTGGTCCACAGGATGTAACAGGAAGGGTAGGCTCCATCTCCAGAAGCAAGGCTAGCCCTGTGTGTGTGTGTGTGTGTGTGTGTGTGTGTGTGTGTGTGTGTGTGTGTGTGTGTGATTTGAATTCAGGGTTTCACACTTGCAAAGCAGGTACTCTACCACTTGAGCCACTCCTCCAGTCCATTTTGCTCTGGTTATTTTGGAGATGGGGGTCTCTAGAACTATTTGCCTGGGTTGGCCTCGAACTGTGATCTTTTTGGTCTCAGCCTTCCCAAGTAGTTAGGATTATAGGTGTGAGCATTGTGGTGTCCAGCTCTTCCAAAGTTTAATGGGTATTGAAAGGAAGTTCTTGGCTTGGGGTTTAGCCCCACAACCTTTGTTCTTCAGTTGTCCTAGGGCCACCAGGATCTTTCCTTAAGAAGGTTTACACCCCAGCTTCCATTCTGCAATATTCCTAGGACAAGCTAACTCTCTGGGGCAAAGGATCTTGTTCATTGCTAGAGATGAGTTTGAGGGCTTAGTCATCTGGGAAAAGCTCATGTTTCTTGTTTATTAGGGGATGGTTCCAGTAGAACTCAGTCTGGGTTTAGCGTAACGGAAGCCAGGTCTGCAAATGTGACTGATATTAAATGTGCTAGAGTGGGGGAACGTAGACTTTGTGGGACTCTCACCTCAGCAGAGCTAAGTAGACAAGTCTGGGAGACAAGGCCAGAGTCAAAAGTAGCCAGCAGGAGGCGGCAGGGAGATGAAGCAGGAAGCTGTGGATATATTTAAACTGTGAGTCACATGATTAGGGTAACTTGGGCAGAGGTAAGACATGTTTTCCTTTAAATGATTAAACTTAGTTGAACTTAATTCAAGAAAAATTTCTTTCCCTCTGAATTTTTTTTCAGGCTTAGAGAGTTTCAAGATGAGATTTGTTTTCTTAAAGAGAACACTTACATTAAGAGCTTCCAAACTAGGCACATCTGTGGACATGGAACACTCAAACATTAAAAAGTGTACTTGGCCCCATCCCTTACATCTGGATGGTAAGAAGGGGCGGGATGGGACGACTATAAGTCGTTTCTTCTTACTTGTTCTCTTGATAGTAAAAACAAACGGATTTGAGCTTCATTTGTTCCATTTTCTTGGGCATAAAGTTTTATTATAATGGGGATACATTGTGATGTTTACAAAAGTTCTTACAATATATTAAATATATCATTCACTCCCTCCATCATTTGAGTGTAAAGTTTTTAATGTCTCCTCCTAAAGTGGTAAAATACTAAAATTTCATTCTAAGGTTGTCAAAGTTTAGCCAGAATTCCATAATTGCAATGGTTCCAAAATCCAGCCTAAACTCAGGACATCTGAATTGTCCTGCCTCAGACAGGGTTTTAAAGGAAGTGGGGACTGAGAGGTAATCATCCCTAAGGAAAATGCAGGAAACCACCAGCCCTAAGGATGGCTGGGTTTAGGGCCTTTCCTACTCTAGATGAGGTAGTTTAACTCATTTAAAAATAAGAGCCCTAGCCAGGTGCTGGTGGCCATGCCTGTAATCCTAGCTACTCAGGAGGCAGAGATCAAGAGGATTGCAGTCCGAAGCCAGCAGGGGCAAATGGTTCGTGAGACCCTATCTCTAAAATACCCATAACAAAAAGGGCTGGCAGAGTGGCTCAAGGTGTAGGCCCTGAGTTCAAGCTCCAGTACTGCAAAAATAAATAAAAAATATAAAAATAAGAGCCTTGGCCCCAATGCTGCCCAAAAAAATAAGAAAGGCCTAGTTCTAAGTAACTACTGACCAAAGGCTAGAATGATCAGTACTTAGTGGTATTTCTTTCTTTTTCTCTTCTTCACTTAAAATTTTTTTGTTTCCCAGAAGTGATTACTATTTTGGGATTTCATGAGGTTCTGTATTCACATACAGATGGGGCACAAAGAGAGTGGGCGGGAAGGTTGGAGGGGATGGTGAGGTCCTGGTAGGTGGCACCCCTCCCTCCTGTTCTAGCTGTCTGCTTTGGAGGCAGGCAGTTAAAAGGTTGGGAGAGCATTGCCGGCAAGGCTTTGAGAGTCCATCATTTCACTCCATCCTCAAAGGTATTTCTATCATCGCCTTGCCCCTTTATTAATTAATTAATTTATTCATTCATTTATTCATTCAACACAGGGTCTCACTGCGTGGCCCTGGCTGGCCCGGATCCTCTCGTCTCAGCCTCCCGAGCGCTGGGATTACAGACGTGCCACCAAGCTCAACTCGCTCCCAAATTAAACCACGCCCAACCGGCTCCACAATTTAACGTTTGGAGATCTTGAAACCCAGAGGTGAAGTAACTGTCCCTACTCTAAACTCTAGTAGGGCCAGGCTAAAGTCACCTGCATGCCCCCTCCAGCCGGTCCGTAAGCGTCCCCACAGATGAACAATCCCCCGCTGGGGTCGCCCTTGGCCGGTCTGAGCTCCGAGTGCCGGGCGTTCCAAGCCTGCGGTGCACCGCCCCCCCGAGAGGCGCCGGACCCCGGCGACGAGAGGGAGAGGGATGGGGACGGAGGCCGCGCCCCCTCCGCCGGGTCGCCACGGCCGGCGTTTCGCAAGGCCCACTGCAGGGTCGTGGGCGCCGCCGCCCCGCTCCCGCGCGGCTAGCCCGGTCCTAGATCACGTCCCCGCCCGGGACGCGCCCCTCCGCGTGCTCTCGCTCTCCCCACGCCTCTCTCTGGGCGATCGCTCGCACCCGCGTCTGCGCCCCCGCCCAACCTCCCCGACACCCCCACCGCACTTCCCCCCAAATCCCGCCACTCGACCCTCGCCCTGCCATCCCTGTCCCTGGCTCCGTTCTAGTTCTCCCTCTCCCCCCGCCCCAACACTGCCCCCCGACTCTCCCCACACACCCACTGCCTCCCCCGCCCCTGATTCCCCCGCCCGACTCGCTCCCCCACTTCGCACCACTGCCTGCCTCCTACTGACGCTCCCTCCTCCCCCACCCGGACATCCCCCACTGCCTCCCCACCCCCACCCGGCCTCCCCCTCCTCTCCACAGCCCCTCCCCGCTCGCCCTCGCCCGGGTTCTCCTGCCTCTCCCTCCACCTCTCCCTGCCCGCTCGGCGCGCTGCCCCTGCCTCTGCCTCTCCCCCCGCAAGCACTCTTCCTACCCCTGCCCCTGAGCGTCTCCCGCCACCGCACTCGCCCCCGACCCCCTCCCGCCCCTGGCTCCCCTCCCCCTGCCTTCCCCATCGCGGCCGCCCGCCCGCCGCGCCCGGGCTCCAGGCCGCGCCCTGCGCCTGTTCGCTCCGCGCCATGGGTAGCGGCAGCAGCCGGAGCGGCCGGGCTCTGAGGCGGCGGCGCAGCCCCGACTGCCGCCCGGCACCGCCGAGCGAGACGGCCTCGGAGGACGGAACCCGGCCGCGAGGCCCGGCGACACCGGACAAGGCCCCGGGGCCAGTCGCGCTGGAGGCCGACCTCGCCCCCGCCCCCGCGGCGCCCCCCGACGGCCGGGAGGAGACCCTGCGCCTGCTGGACCAGCTGCTGGCCGAGTCGGCGGCCTGGGGTCCCCAGGAGCCGGCCCCGCGCGGCCCGGCCCGACCCCGACCCCGACCCGCCGCGGGCGCGGGCAGCGCGGTGAGTGCGGGCGCCGCGCGCCTCGGGAGGGGCGGGGACCCCGAGCGCCACCCAGGCCCGCCCGCCGCGCTGGCGACGTCCCGCGACTCCCCGGCTCCCCGGCCCGCTGTCGTCCCCACGCCCGCCCCACCGGGCCCGCGTCCCCGCGTCCCCCGCAGCCTCTCTGGCCCGCGCGGCCTCTGATGCCCTCGCTGACCGCGCGTGTCCCCCACAGTCCCTCCTGGACTCCTAAGCCCCCTGCATAGTTTCCCCTCCGCCTCCTCTGTGGGTGTGGGTCTGTCTCCAATTTGGCGTGACACGATGGGGGCAGCCTTTAAGGGCCGCAGGACAGACATCTTTGGTGGAAACTCGTCCCCCGGGGCCTTCTCGGCCAGGGCCACCTTTCCTCTTGGGCCGGGTGCTGCTCTCGGAACGGAGCAGCCTTGCAGCCCAGGTGGAGTTGGCCATTAGTCTGGCCTTTTTTTGCAGGCCCCCCCTCCGGCCATTCCCTGGGTCACTGTGGGAGGAGGGGCTGAGTCGGGGGGCCGCTTGCCAAACAGTGGTTCGCAAACGCCCTGCCGCGACCACCCGACACATCCGGGTCTATGCCTCGCTGGTCAGGCAATTCCCACATTATTAAGCCATTTTTAAGATGCGGTGGGATCTCCTTTTAGCTTCCTTGACCTGCCTTTCAGAACACTTGTAATAACAGCCCTGCTGTTCTAGAAAAACAACAAAAACGAGCACTCTGGTTTGGCACGTCTTCGTCCCTGCTGAGCTGTTGAACAGGATCACAGCAGCTCCGGGGCTGGAGCCCCAGGCTTTGTGCTGGACACTGCGGCGATGGCCCGGTGGCCAGCCCAGGGATCGTCGCCCTGGGCAGCTACCCGGCCCGGCATCCTGCAAAGGCTGCTGGGAAGGGTGTGAGAAGGACAATTCTGCCCCGTTCCGCATCCCCTGCCACCCTGCCCAGGCTTTTTAAGAAGAAAAGTGAGCCGCAGCTAGGAGCTCTGAGTTATATAACAAGACTCCTGTTAAGACTGCATCCGCACTCAGTTATGTAACATAAAAAAAAGACAGATTTGGGGAAGATTCCGACGGCAAGGAAGCAATATTCAGTGTTCATTTCCAAATGCTTGGGAAACTTCAGAAAGCAAACAGCATGAATGGATTTTCCCTTCTACTCGCTATCATAGCAGCTCAGTCTTCCTGGCCCTTGGGGACCAGTTTAAGGTCCCACTAGGTGAGGCCCTGTGCTAAGTGCTAGAGGAAGACAGGTGCACCAGCGCTGACGCTGAAGAGGTCTGCTGTGCAGGGAGGAAGGAAGATCCACAGACAGATGAGGCCAGTGGTCAGATCTCTGTGTAAGGATGACACAGAGGGAGCAGATGCATTCCCCAAGGGTCTGTGGACATTAGCCAGGAGAACAGGCGAGAAGGTTCTGTGTGGTGGCCCGGCCTGCTGTGCTAGGTACGGGCTGAAGAGGACTTCCACATGCCATGCGCTGGGTACAGGGTGCAAGGGATGTCTCATGTCAGGGAGTCTGGATATCTGTGGATATGTTTGAATGGTTAGAGAGAGGGACATTTTGTGTTGTATGATGACTACACCAACATTGTGAGGAGGACAGAGGAAAACTAGGGACGTGATGGTTGACCTAGGCTAGTCTCCATCCTCCAGGTGACCAGGGCCTGGATCCAAGCAGTAGAGTGAGGGGCCTGGGAGATGGATTCAGGAAGTAGTAGACAGGGGAAGTCGGCCATCTGTGGTAACTCTTGGAGGTGCCCTGTACCATGACTGTTTATCAAATTAAAATCCTGTTACTAGAACTGAAAAGGGGCTCTTAAACTTGGCTTATTGTTTTCAGGTCCAGAAAGACAAAGTCTAAAATTTGAGGCCTCATAACTTGAGGCTGTAAATGCACTAGAGTGGAAGCTGATGCTTCTGTGTTTTGTAGATTGGATTATTATTTTTGTCAGTATTGGGGTTTTTAACTCAGGGCTTTGCACTTTGGGATGCAGGTACTCTACTGCTCGAGCCACACCTCCAGATAGATTGGATTCTTTAATTGATTCCTCCAGGTGTTGCACATTTTACAAGACCCTGAGTTAATAAGATTTTGATTGATGAGAGAAGATTAAAACTCATCTGAAGAAGCTATGTCTTTCTTCCAAACTAAAGAGCCAGGCCTGGTGGCCCATAATCCCAACTACTCAGAAAATGGAGGCAGGAGAATATGAGTTTAATGCCAGCCTGGGCAAAGTTAGTGAGATCTGCAGGGTCTCAAAAACAAAAAAAATACAGGCTGGAGGTGTGGCTCAAGTGGTATAGCACCCACAAAGTCCTGAGTTCAAACCCTAGTACCACCAAAACAAACAAACCACCAAAAGGGTTGGAGGCATGCTCAAGTGGTAAAGTGTTTGCCTAGCAGACTCAAATTCAGTCCCCAGTACCAAATCAACAACAAGCACTGTAAACTTTTTTTTTTTTTTTGGTGATAACTGGAGTTTGAACTCAGGGCCTGGTGATTGCTAGGCCAGCTCTCAATATACTTTTCTTTAACTTATCAGGTGCTTTGTTGTCTTTCAATTTTATATATTATGCAAATGTTTTTCACATTCCTGCATAATATTCTAAGCTATTATTTTAATGGATACGAAATATTCCATCAAATTCCTGTACTTTAACTCACTAAACAGCTCCCTCTCCTGTTACTGTTCTGGATTAATTTTCAACCTCATGTCTAGGAAGACTTATGTGTTCAAAGTTAGTGGAACTTTTTTTTTTCAGTACTGGGGTGTGAAATCAGGGCCTTGTGCTTGCTCGGCAGGTACTGTACCACTTGAGCCACTCCACCAGCCCAGTGGAACGTTAAAATCAACTGTACTTTACTGGCGGGGCGGGGAGGGGGGGGGAGCATTAAAACTTAAAGCTATAAAGGATTAGAAAGCAAAGGACTTCTTTTTCCTTTTTTTTTTGAGATAGGGTCTCACTGTGTAGCCCAGGTAAGACTTAAGCTTGCCATCTTTCTGCCTGAGTCTCCCAAATGCTGGAATTACATACATGTGCCTCCATGTGTTGCCACAAAGCTAGCAGTTTAAATTTGTATTTTTTAAGTTATTTAATCAAATTGTAATGTTTTTCTTTAAAAAAAAAATGCAGCTGGGTGCCAGTGATTGAAACCTGCAATCCTACCCAGGTGGCAGAGATCAGGAAAATCATGGTTTGAAGCCAGCCCAGACAAATAGTTAGACCCTATCTTAAAATACCCAATACAAAAAAGGGTGGTGGAGTGGCTCAAGTGGTAGTGTGCATGCCTAGCAATTGTGAGGCCTTGAGTTCAAATCCCAGAGATGCAAAAAAAAAAAAAATGCAGCAGTTATCTGTCACAGTGGCCTGTTACTTAGTAAAATGTCACCTACTGTTGACTGATTCATGGAGGGGGGCAGGCAAGGACCTGCAGTGTTTGTGGATCACCACAAATAGGGCTCTGCTGGACCCTGAATTAACTAGAATAGTTCAGCCTCAGAATGGGAGAGAGAAGTTCTTGAGAACTAGCTGCACTATGACATTTGAGAGTACCTTCAACAAGAAATTGTGATTCAATCCTAGACATATATTCAGTGCTTTTACTGCTGAGTAAGAATCTAGACTGTTCCCCCTGTGCCTCACAAACCCCAGTCAGCCACCATGTAGCGGAGCGCACTGGCAGAATTCTGCTGTTGAGCATAGAGTCCATTCTTCCCCTCAGCTCCTCAGGGTGAGCGGCTCTGTTGTCCACTATTTTTGCAATGATCTCATTTTGCTGTAGCTAAGGAAGATTGGGGTTCTTTTTTGTCTTTTACCACCAGACAGGACTTAACAGTGATCCTGCCTTACTGCTGTTGTGGGTTGTGACAGCAATGGAAGTGAGCACGTGGCTGGAAAGTGGCTCCACCAGAGAGATCTAAAGGTCATGGATGCTCAGCAAAACAAAAACAGAAACTTCGTCTGGAGAACAGTTACTGTCTGTCTGAACTCAGGGATGTAGCCAAGAACATGCTTGTAAATGGTGTGAAGTGGCATTTTGAGCTCTTTAGAGTTCAGAGAAGAGTGAACCACAGCGCTGATCCCCTGAAAGCTTATAGCTGTGGTGGGAAGGCAGCAGAAGCGAGTGTTGTGACAGAAGCCAGGTACAGGGGGGGTGCTGATTAGCACAATGGAGGAGGAGAGGTACCCCTCTGAGGAGGAGGGAGTCTTCCCACTGCACCAAGGCTGAGTTGACTCCATGGGATCAGAGAGGTTTCCAGCCACTGAAAGAAGGAAAACAGCATGTGGGAAACCCCAGCAATATGAAAGCTCTTGAAGACTCCAAGCAGGTCACTGTGGTTGACAGGTGACACCAGAAGCAAAAGCAGAAATACAGGCTGAACTATCCTATAGACAGTAGGGAGCTAGTGGAAGTTTTCTGTGTCTTATTACCCTTAAATGTTTATCTTTAAAATAGGTAACTTTAGCTAATACACGTGCGCACATAAGAACAAATTTAAAAGGTAACCAAAAAGAAAGTGTGCCTTCCACACTTGGCTCCCACCCTTTGCTCAGGTCCCTTTTCCAGAGACCACATTATCAGGTCCCATGTGTCCTCCCAGTCTGTGTCCCAGCAAGGAAGTGTGCAGAAGGGGGTTGTGTTGGAGAAGACTGCCTAGAATCCCAGGGAGGAGATCATCCTGGTAGGAGATGCTGGGAGACAAGGCCAGGTAGGCCACTGGTTGTGACAAGTAGAAAGCAGGTTTCTAGAAAGATTTCAAGGTTTCTTACTTGAGTTGTTGAGCAGATAATGAGAAAGGCCCAGGTTTGTACAGTTTTAGGTGTCATCAGAAATTCGTATCAATTATAGAAGGTGGCTGGGGCTGGAGCTCTAATTGTGTGGACGTCATGTTTAGATGATCACTGACACTGTCTGTGCTGTTCGAATGATGAGGCATATTGAGTGGATGGGTAGGCAAAAATGCTAAGCTTGGAGCCAGGAGAACATCAGA